CCTTACACACAAAATGTTCATTATAATGAATCATTGGTTCTAGGCTTCTGGCACACCATCATCACTGGACTTTAACTGAAAATCCTCTCTGATATCCTGCTGTTGCCCCAAGTCATGGGGATCCTGCGGTTATCATTCCCCAGGAACAGACCCTTCACGAACTCCAGCAAGTCATAGATGTGGTAGATGTTAGGGTGGGCCAATTGAAGGCTCAGGATATGGGCTGGTAGCTGAGTTGGTCAGTCTGGGCCACTGGAATCACACCCCTCAGGCGAGGTGTGGAGCCTGTTCTCCTAGGCCCATTTCATAGGGGCCAGCTCTTCCATGCCCTTTGTATGGGGTGGGGCCATCTCTCTTGAGTGTGGGAGCCAGCTCTCCCATGGAGGATGAGGCCAGCTCCCTGCTGCAATGGCCAACAAGGGGCAGGGTCAGCCGTCCCAGGGACAGTGAGGGGTGGAGTTGGCTTAGCATGGCCCTCAGATTTCAACATGCATGGTTCCTATGATCCCCTGTGACAACATGAGCCATGGACATCATCACAGACCCCAGCTGCAGCAAGACCTTGAACCCAGAAATGGCCCTCAGCAGCACCTCAGGCCCAGATGTCACCATGGCCATCGGTGGCAGAGCAGGCCACTCAAGTCGACATCACCCCAGCTGCAGGGTGGCCCTCAGGCCACAACATGGCCCAATGTGGAGGTCCAGATCCCAGCATCCATATGATCCTGATGGTGACAGGCACCATGGACATCAACAAAGGCTCTGGTACAGCCATAGACCCACACATGGCCCCTGGCTGCAAATCAAGCCCAGCCAACGCCATGGCCCTGGGCCACAGCCCGGGCCATTAAGAAAGGGAGAATCCCTGCTGTGGTGTAGCCCTTGGGCCCCTACTTGGCCACACCTGGCAGCCCTGACACCAGGACTCCTCACAACTCTTGGTGGTAACAGGGGCCAAAGACATCTACACAACTACCCATGTGGTAGGTCACACCCAGACATGGTCCTTGGCAGCAGCCTAGGACCTGATGACAGCATGTTGCCAGGTGACAAGCAGGCCTCCCAAATCAGTCTGTTCTTCACGGCCTTCAGCTCTTCAGAAGCATCTATTCCCATAGGGACTAGAACCTCCCACCATACATTAGCCAGCCAGACCACCCGGCACCACAAGAGCAAACTGCTCAGAGTGGGCATGTGGGTGTCCATCGCTGGCCCTTCGGTTTCAATCACGTATATAGGTGTTTTGCCTGCATGCATGTCTGTACCCAAGGAGGCCAAAGAGGGCATTAGGTCCCTTGGGACTGGAATTAGCGATGGCTGTTGTTCAGTTGGGAGCTCCACCTCCGTCCCACTCCCACCTCCATCCCAGTCCTCCCCATTCCAAACCCCGCCCCTCTCAGACAGACTGACAAAAGTCCAGGCTCCTTCCCCAGAGCTCAAGACCATGCCTACAGGGTGTTTAAGCCTGGGTCCCTAGCCCTGCCTTGCAATTTCTCCTCCTCCCCACCCCTGCCTCACCTCTGGGGGCGCTGGAAAGGTCACCCGAGAGTGCTTGGTTCATTAAACCTGGTCTTTTTAATTTGGCTTGATCTGGCTTGCTGTGTCGGTGGAGAAACCCATCATGGGGTTCAGAAACTCTATCAGTTGAGTGTTTCCATGGGGGTGCTGGGAATCAAACCTGGGTCCTCTGCAAGAGCAGCCATCGATCTTAACTACTGAGCCATCTCTGCAGCCTCTAATATATGCTAACATTTTCTCCTGATACAGCTGTTAATGCTCTAGGATTGCAGTGTTTGTTCCTGACTTTTTTTTTTTTTTTTTTTTTTTTTTTTTTTTTTTTTTTTT